CCGTAGCCCACATAGGGAGAGAGAGCTAATGAAACACTACTGCATTTGCATTGAACAGGACAAGAGACTACAGAATCATGAGATCAAGTGTATTTATCCTCATAGCACAAATCGTTAAGGATGTCAGCTTTAGTGTATAGTGGATTATGGCATTATCACTAGTTTGTTGTTGTCTAAACGCAGGTAGGGCGTAAACACTTATGGTGTATGTAGCGGAAATAGTAAGATGGAATTGTACAATTGTACGTCCACAGTTGTACATCAACTTGAACATTTTACGAATTTCATTACATTTGTCGAAATACCGAAGTATTTTTATTCGAGATAATCTCTGGGAGTACAAATTTTCCATATCTTTCACAAGATAAAAGGCTGTGCTGTAGTGCCCGGGCATCAAAGTGGAAATACACTCTACGCTGTCGGATCGGTGTATATTACCTACTTTCGAACAGGTCATGAACCGAACAACGCGCATCAACTCGATCGTAATCGATGCACAACCAAACTGAGCAAGTTCGACAAAACTCTGCCCACTGAATGGATTTGCATCATCGCTTAGCTGACTCCATCTGCATTCGTCTATTAGAACCTGCATATCGCTGACATCAGTATTCTTGTAGCCCCATTAAGGTAGTTGAGGCCGGAAATCATATTCCGCTACCTGAGAATGACCTCTCGTCTGTCAATTTTCATTAGAGCTGTGCGCGCATTGGTCGCGCAGTACAGCAACCACCGATCAAGAGCTGTGCAGCTTTGACTTTCAACAGCTCCATGCACTATATTGAAAAAAAGTATGTTCTTTAGCATGAGCAATAGACAAGGTTGACTGTAATTTTAGAAATAAAATTGACCCAATTTCATCAGGTGTAATTTATCCTGTACTATTTTGAATAGTAATATTGTCTAAGCCACTTTTCGTATCTACTTAAAAGAAAATTTCGCAGGCTGTGACGTCCAAAGACGCCGCGTTTTGTAGAGGAATCGGTGAAAAATAATTCACATCCAACAAACACTCAGGAGCTCACTCTAGACAGTTTCCGTGATGGTTTAAATAATTCTTGAGTTGTTTTGCTGCTGACTTTTGCACTAATATTTTTTCTGGAACATGGTCACATGTTCTCACTGGTAAGCGCCGACCACTTCATCTCTCAATGACATTATGTCACTATCGTTCAGGTTAAGATGAATAATGGCCATGTTTTTTAAAAGATGTAGTCGAGTGAATATTCATGATTTCTGCTAGGGAGGAAGTAGCTATTTCATTATAGACCAAAAATTTGCTTTTCATCTTTTCGTAAAAATTCAAGAATGTAATATTGCGTGATTTACTTCTTTATAGTTACCTAAATAATGAACAATTAAGAGGAAAAAGACAAAAAAGCGTACCTGAGCATGCTGGCTATGAGGTGTAGTGGCTGCTAAAATCCCAGTTATGACGAGATTCACTTATTCAGGATATTTCAGTCATATGTAATATATCCAATCTCTCACCAAAAAATCATTAAAGAAAAAATCTGTTCATCTGAAACCGGTCAATAAACTTATGTCTTTGACGGCTTGATCGCATTCTGTATTTTGTTTACAAGGGCTTTTGCCTCCTCACTCGATGTTGTGACATCAGCACAAAGAAGAAGAATCTTCTCTTTCGAAAAAATCTTTTGCAATGTGGGCAACACAGACGTAGTAAGGTCAGCCTTCAAAATTGCTGCGGTCTCTATCCAACTGTCGAATTTGTAGCTGTCACCGACGATCGCTTTATCCATCCGTCTTTCCAGAACATAGTCTACTACTTCTTTCATCATTTTTTCAGCGGCACTGTTTTTAGCGGTAAGGTACGTGTCACCAATGGTATCATATTTGATCCATTGTCGCTCAAACTGTTGGAATAAAACGCTGGCAGGAGTTTTCCCCTCCTTTTTAGGCAGAGAATAGTACCATTTCTGAACGTTAGGTAAATTGATGACGTCATGTAGTTCCCGAGTGCCAATGTGTCGAACAGCCAGTTCACCTTCTAGTTGCTCACCAATAGTTCTTGAGTCACCACCTCTCAACTGTAAATTCTTACTGAGTCGAATCAGCGAGTCTTTAAAATCGTCGCCATCAGCCAACATCTTGTCTATAAAGTATTCATCAAAAGCTAATTTGCCATTGTCAACCTGAGCAGTCGAAATGGCGTCGATTATTCTTTTGCGGCCGAAAACTTTCGATAGTGCGATCACCTTTATGCGAGCCCCTAGTCCTGGTTTTTCTGGAAAGGCGTCCTCAATAAGTTTTGACCAAGTTTGGAACTCAGGGCTGGTGAAGAGATCTCCCTTTGCCTTGTCAACTTGGGCTTTCCTTAGTAGTATGGCAGCTGCTCGATATATATCAGAGGCATCTCTCAAGTAGATATGGTGCTCTCTTCTACCCTTCCGTTTAGATGACAATGTTGGACGAACAACACCATCATCAACCAGATTCTTCGTGTTGATGGTAGGCAGGAGTTCACCTTCTAATCGCTCACCGATGTCCTTAAAGCTCTCTCGAAAAAGACCCTTTGTGCTTCCATCTAATTTCTGCAAATTTTTACTATATGTGAACAGTGCGTCGTTAAGACGAACAGCAAATTCATTTTGAACACCCTTAGCGTTGGCGAGAAACTCTATCAGCGCGGCTTCAGTGGCGCCGTTAATAGGTAATTTACGTCTGACAACTTGAGCAGTCAGAATGGAGTTGATTAGTGTGTCCTGTCCGTGTTCCACCAGTACCGCCACTCTTAGCTGTGCCACTCTTTTGAAATCGTTCGGAAAGGCATCCCTCAAATATCTCGACCAGTTGCGATACGCACTGCTCCTAAAGAGATTCTTCGTCACCTTGTCAACACCCGCTTTTTGATATAACTCGTAGGCTGCTGCCAATTTGTCAGGAGCGTTTTTCAAGTAGGTACTTGGACTAATGAACTTCATGACCCTAGATAATGCGATCTTTTTCCATATATTTT